TTTTAGGCCAGAAGGGTTGAAATAGAAAAACTATTTCTGAACTAAAATCTAAATTTTTTGGGCTAAATATTTTTAGGTCTTAAGTCAAGGTTGAAGATGATTTAATAACCTTACACCATGCTGATATTATATTTGGGCCTCACAACCTCACCCTCATTTAGGGGTCATTCTCCAATTTAACCCTAAGGCTTCCTCACTATCACCACCTTTATTCTTTAGAAGACACTATTGCCTCTTGTCCGATAAAATCAACCCAATCATATAATGAAACTATATCAGAGTGAAACCCAACTTCAGATAAATCGTGATACATCATTGTGTTCTCGTGTTAGAATTACGATCTTACTTGTGTTGGTACACACAATATTACCAAAGGAAAATATTTTATTCCTTTTGACCAATAGAATTCTCAACTAGTATTAAACCCTTTTATTTGGAAGTAAGGCTAAGTGTATCATGCTTTGCACCTCATATGACTTGGGAGCTATAACAGTTTGGCTATTCTCTTTTACTAAGATTTTTCGAAGTCACAAATCACTACATCATTGACCCCTTTGTAATCCAACTCCCAAGTTACATGCTATTTTTTCGTTTGACACTTTGGTGGGCCCATTTTTGCTAAATGGATAAGGAATTCAAATTCTTTCAGATCTCGCAGTCCAACGTCGACAGATTAGAAATAGGACCGTTTAAGAGGAAGAGAAAGGTCCAAAACCTAAGGTTTTATGAGATAAACTAGTAGAATGAACTAATAGAGGCAATTTGAATTGAATGCTTCGGATTACTCTGTCTGTCGGTTCCAATCTAAAGAGATATGGAGAGGATCTCAATTCATGGATAACATAGTGATGTCATGTGATGATTTTTTTAGTTCTATGTAACTAGAGTTCAACTTACTTTTTTATCTTAAAAATAAGTAATATGATAGATCTCTTATTTGCTAAACACTCTAGAAGTGATTTAGGTTTGTTGACTTGAATTTAGTCAAGTCAACTAGAACTGTGTTCTCAACCATCTGCACCCAAGATCAAATATCTCTGTCGTACTTTAAAAAATAAAATAAAATAAAAAATTGGCCCCCTCATAAACATATCAAAATATGCCCCTTCGACTTTTACTATGTGAATTTATTCCGATAAATCAGCCCGCTAAATTTTGTTACCATTTTGTGCTAAAAGCCCGAAGGAGGTACTTTCCCAAAATAAAGAGGATTCTACTCTTAATAAGACGTTCCACAGTAGTTCAAGTGATTGTAATACCTATATATAGAAATCAGGCATCATAAGTTTGATTGATTTCTATAACACTACAACTAGACTAGTGTGAGTTCAATACATTGATAGCACATTCATGAGTTTGATACATTAAACTCATGAGTTCAATAAATTGGAACCACAACCAAATTTTCGGCCCACTGTCAGTGTGATTCCTATACAAGTTCAGCATATTAATCACACTCAATTTGTCCGACCTACTGCGAAGGTCTAAGTACATCACAAGCTGCTATTCTAACCACGTTAGCAGAAAGTTCCTTCACTTCCAAGTTTCAACAACCAACTGTTTTCATTAAACAAAAAAATAAAGCATTTGCTTCAAACGTTTTCTGACAGGGTTTTGTTCTTTTTTTGGTCCGATCATCAGGTCGCTCATATACGCTTTGGCGGTACGTATTGCATCTGAGCATCTTCGCATATGTTCTGCAAATATATGAACCAAATAAGTAAATTCACCAAAGAAAAACAGTGGAGAAAAAAAAGTGCAAGAACATCTAAACATCCCAATACAAGCAACCTCTACAGATTTGAAAAGTGCAAAAGAGTAAACAAAGCACAAGGAAATCGTCCATGAGTACCTCTACATCCAATTTAAGCTCCAAAGCGAACAATAATGTAATGGGAAGAAACAAGTTTGGCATTGATTTAATTATCCTACCACAGAATTGATCCTCGGAAATGGAACACGAAAAACAAAAAAAGCAGCAGCTTTTCATGACATACCAAGAGTTTTGAACAGGTCACTACGGAATAGATCATATACCAAGACTTTTCAATTTTGATTAACGCACTAATTTACACCTTATGAGAAGGAAAAGAAGATGGTGAGCCTAAACCATTTAATCCGTTAATGCTATTCTTACCATATTTTTTTACCACAATTGTATACCACCTTAGGTGGCATATGATATGGACAGCCACATCATCTAAATTAATTAGCATTTAATTTCAAAATGTTAATCAATAATTAATAAAAAGATTGCTAATTAAATGATGATTGTGGTATACGAGGAGTCTCCTTCTTCCTTCCCATTCCATTCTGCTTCTTCTTCCTTCTCCTTTCTTTTTCAAGACAGTTTTTTTATTGATTTCCGTTGATTTCCATGATTATGGTCAAGCTTTATAGAATTTACTCATATAGCACAATCACCATTGATTTCTATCTCCAGACTCATTCCCCGTAGCTCCAATCCTCATTCCCCTTCAAGTATTTCTGTCTCCAATCTTCATTGGTATTCCATGGTTGTTCATCTTGTGATTTCTTTTTTTTGTTTTTTTTTTTTTCTTTTCAAAAAATTTTTTTTTGTGGTTTAAAAGAAGGATTTCATCTGATTATTTCATTAAGTAACGCCTATTAGCTTTCATGCGAATCAGGAGTCAAAATCAAATTTGTCTATCGGATTAGGGTTCATACGCAATTAAGTTACTAACGCCGAAGGAAGATCTTGAAGTCTGCAATTTTCCTTATTTAAGTGTTTTAATCAATAAGAAAATTGAAATTAAATGAGTTGGCTTGCATGACTCAGGAATTGGCAAATTAAAGAAGGAACGTGTTCCAACAACAACATTGGATCCGAGGATTCTCTCTTCTAAGGATGTGCTAATATGACAATCTACTTCAAGTTCAACCATGCATACACTACACACATAGGCCATCCATATCTGAGTGGACCATTAAACACACTCCACAAGCTGCAATTTTTTTACTCCTAATGTCAATTAGGGCATACTCTCAAGTTACTTGCAAATTTGTTTGAAATATATGGTGGCAAAACTGGCTATTCGAAAACCATCCCAATCAAAAACAATCACGGTTCAAATGGTATAGTTAACATATTCGACCAAATAACTATAAAACAAAAGACTGGCCAGTGTGGCCACTAACCAAATTTATTGGAAATTGTATAACAAGAAAATATAAAAAAAAAGACATAGTGTTACCTTCATATCCTCCGAAAGAGCCTCTGAAACAGCAAGTGTGTAACAACCAGGGACAAATTTTGCTGCCAAAATATCAAAATACATGTTAAAATTTCACAGCCAAATTGAAATCAATGCCAGATTGTAGTACCCATAACGTAGAGCATGTAAAAGTCCGAAAAGTAAACAATTCAAGCAGATGCCTTTGAGAAAATTGAGAGCAAGCCACTATAGTATCAAGTGTTAAAAGAATGCATAGGCGACTCAAACACCGAATTTCAAGTGGACAAATTCCTAAAGAAAACTGAAATTGCACAAATTACAAAAAATTAAAATTGAAAATGGTTGTCGAAAATCAATGCATCATTCTGTCAAAGCAAAATCTTGGAATACACAAAATTTGTATGAACCAATACATACCAATTCGGAGCCACCGCGCAGCCCAACTCCTACTCGGATCCATTACTGAGATGATCCTAAAATACAAGCAATGCAAATTATGCAATTTCCAATAAACAAAAAATTCAAAACAAAAATATCAAAAATTAAAGAAAAATCAAAATCGTCTCAGAGAACGAGAGTAAAGAAGACCAACCCGTTGAAATTAGGAGTGGTGCAATCGGCGATGCGCTCGTTGTCGTCGTTCATCTCGAAGAAAGGGCAGTTCTCGCATCCATGTTCTCTGAACTGCATTTGCATTTGAATGTTTACTCAGCAAAAACCCTAAAACCTCTGTAATTTAAAACAAAATAAAAAAATAAAAAAATAAAGGAAAACGAGATGTAAAACCCTAACCTGATCGTAGGTCTTGACGAGGCGGCAACGGAGGCAAGCCCTAAGCTCGTGGCCGAAGCTCGTCGGAATCTGGGCTGGTTCCGATTGCGCGTTCCTCATCTTCTTTCAGCAAAAATAACAACCACCAGTGTACTCTTTTATTTTTCCCGACCCAAATAAAAAATCCGTATTTATATAAATGTATTTAAAGGAATTTGCACAAAAAAGCCTGAAGTTTTTCATTTTTGTGCATTAATCCTTCACATTAAATATTGTTTTGAATTAACCACATATAATTCGAACTATTTTACTAAATGACACCTCCCTTTACTTTCCAATTTCCATCCACAATTCCATTAAAATTACATGATGGCCCCTTTATGAGCGTCCTAGACCTTGCGGTTGAAGGGAGTTGTAGTCATTCACTGTACAATCTGAATCCAACAGTAGGTGGTTATTTAACTTTTGCTGTTACAATTTCTCTTTATTGTTGATTAAAATCAAACGGTTGATGATCATAATTTTCTTGGACTATGGAGTCTAGTAGAACAAAACTCTTATTTTATTAATATACCTTAAGAGAAAATATTAAATTTATCGTGCACTCATATTACAACGCTCAGATTAATAACATCATATAACGATGTCACAATTACTCATAAATTTCTCCAACATAAGTGACTAAATCTGGGGTGGAAATTGGGGGAAGTACCTTATTCGAAACGGTTCAAAGCTTGGAGTGGAACTTAATTGTAAAACTTCTTAATCTGGGAGTAAAATGCACAAAAGTGAATATTTCAAGGTCTACGTGGAATTTCCTTTTTATATACTATTATTGTAATTATTTTATGAAAATATGTTTGCTCACCATCTTTATTTAGGGGATAATTTTAAATTATTTAATAAGAGCGGTGGTATCCACAAACCTAACTTGACAAACAATTATTTGGCGACAAATAAAACACAGAAGATTGCCATGACATGGATTAAAAGAACAAAGAAATACAGTCGAACCACGAAGAACCAAAAGCGTAAAACTAAAAGTTTATGCAAACTTTCATTCACAAACATTAGGTTTTAACATGGAACCTGCAAACTTCACCAAACTCATGCAGCAAAAATACAAAAACCAAACTCATGCAGCAAAAATACAAAAAGCTTTTATTTCCCTATCACAGTACAAGCACGGCACAACCATAGGGGCCCTCGTATTCAACCCGAGTACACTCTCCGATACATTTCAGGACAAGAAACTTAGAGATCTTCAGGACCATTGATATCCTGCGCAAAAAAGTACAATTAGCACGTATAAAACAGCGACAAATATCAACATAATTTGTAACATATGATGGTGTAGATTGATTTGTGTTTTTACCTTGTTTGCAATCACGGCGTTGTCAGGAATTTCTAACTTCACCCCGGATTTTGCTGTGATAGTTACTTTCCCCTTCATTGAATAAAAAATATGGGAGACAACATTACTAGACTTAACAGCACGATAGTATGAAAAAAGGATGCGAAATGAATAATCAAGGTCGGGCATAGACCGAAATAATCCTTCGTGCTTGCCATTGTAATTTGCTGTCTAGTGTCTATGTGAAGGGGAATGTGTTTGGTGAAACTTACAACATGATTTTAAAGGTTTCCAGAACAAATTAAAGGAGATAAATAACGTGAATGGATAGTTAATAATCTATGTTGCAGTCTTGTAGAAAGGGACATAAGACGAGATTAATTTCAGCCCACGAACGAGCCGACCAACATGAATTTATATCAAAGTAAACAAATAGTATTTTCCTTTTTTAATCTCCCCATCCAATCTATTGCAACTTAACTAAGATTCAGATATCAATCTCACACCGACGTCAAATTCTTTACCATGAAAAAGACAAATGATGCAAGACAGTTTGGCTGTAAGTGTGTACCTTGAGAACAACACCAGCACCGAACCAGACATCACCAGAAACCTTAAGGCTATCAAGCTCAAGGATGCTGGGGATTGACTTGAATCGACTCAAGTAACTGCCAACCTACAAGGAAAGAAATTATCACAATTATCATCAGGTAGTTGGAACCATAAAAAAAGGAATTAGCTAATTTGACAACCGATAAATTAATAACCTCAGCTAGCCAGTCCGACTTGGGGTTGATGTGCTAAACTAATAATTCGTAAAACTTATAATATAATAAATTATAAAATAATCAAATGAAAAAAAAAATTATAAAATTATCATATAGGTCCAACGTAATATGTGAATTAATATTTCCTATTGCTATGGCTTATGTTTGTTTGGTTAAATGTTCACAAAATGGAATTATGTAGTACATTGAACAATGTACAATCTATTTTTGGGAAAAATAAGTAGATTCATGAACTTTACTTGGTTTAACAAATACATAGAATTGTTAGTTCGTAAAACGAGAAACTAAATACAATGTACAATATTGAATAAAATAAGGAATACCTTGCTGATTAAAGCAAGTTTTTCATTAATTGAAATTAATAAATTACTAATTTATCGATTATTTAATATTCCGCGAAATTAATAGATTTCCTTGGTTCCATGGCTATTAATTTATAGATGTTTAACTGTACGAAATATTCACCTTCTTAAATTCAGGCCCCAATTCAATAGTAGGATTTTCTGGATTTTTTCTCGCACTGTTCCGGGTAACAAAACCATCTTGTAATGTATAAAGGTCAGACTGCAAAAGAAGATAAATGCATTAGACAAGCCTCAAGTCATTATTAAAGATTCAAAATCTAGTGGTGGGAAAAGGAGGCTACCTGGACAAGAAGCAAATCGGAAGTTGCCTTCACAGGAAGGAATCGAGATCTTGGTACATTGATGCCAATAGCATTATTAAAGAACTGGTCATAGGTACGGATGAGTAAAATTGGTAATTAAATTACTAAAAGATCAATTTCTATAGAAATAGAACTTCAAGCTTTAACTTTTGATAACATCCTAAGATGATTTTTAAAGATGTACCCTGATTGCTGCACCAGCCGCGGTTTCTAGTTGAAGAACTTTGACCCCATCCACTTCCTATAAACAAATTTACGCATCAGAAAACCGGAATCTTGGAACAACCAGGCTTCATATAAAAAAATATACCTTTGGGTTTGGGATAATTTCCATCTTCAGTGCATCAGCTTCTACTAGCCTTTTAATTGCCTTCAAGTTCACCCACCTGAATGGTACTTTGTTAGCACACAATCGTATTCCATGAATGTTCTACAAGATTTGGGTTAATATTACTTACAAATTATTTGTGTTGAAAATTTTGAACTTCTCTATTGACTTGAATTCATTGACCTGTTTCAACGAAAGCACCGCATATCATCAACAACAAACTGTGCAAATGTAATTATCGTAAACAGAATGTACTTGTATCTGCAATCTGGGGATTCTAGCTATATTTTACATAGCTGCTATCAGCAGTGAGAACAAGATGACAGGTTAAATATTAAAGGAGGAGATAGGGGGAGTGAAAGAATAGAAACAGGACTTACGTGTTGATCAGGGACTTGAGCAATTTCCAGGAGCTGCACAACAACATCAGGTAAAAGAAAAAAGGTCATGCATAGAAAAAGTTTTCAAGGATTTTGCTTCGTACGGGAAAGGAGGCGCTTTAACATTGAATTCATTCCATTGTAAAGAAAAAATAGATTAACCAGAAGAATGAGCTTGGTGGCCGATTTGGTTTTCCTTTGACATTCACTTACTCAAAGAAAAAGGTACAAAACAGGGGAACTGGCTTATTCAACCTTGAACTAGGTCAACTAGCTATCCAGCCAGTTCGACTAGTGTCTTGCAAATTGACATTGTTTTTGGGTGGTAAGTTTGAAACCAAACCCTATATGTGAAATATAAGATCATTTACAATTTCATACTACCTCTTTATTTCAACCAACTACTTAAAATGATATGACTTTACTAAGAAGACAAAACTTCTTATTTGAAAACAACGGCTAATTTAAAAAGAAGACAATAAAACACAAATTAAAAACCATAACCACAACTAACCACAGATATAGTTGTCCAAGATAAAACAACACTTCCTAAAATAAAAGTGGCTTGAGAAAGTACACATTATAGAGATGTGGAGTGCCCACCAAAGTTTACAAAACCTAGAATGTTTTCAATATATCTTAACCTTATAATTGATACACACAAAAAAAGTACTAGTAATGGATAGAAATTCCATACCTGAACCCTGCCCTCATAAGAAATAAGAGTGCCGCCCTTCACATCGGCCAATGTTTTCGGTGTCACCTGCACAAATAAGAAACATACGTAGAAACGAGTTTAAAAGAGATAAGGTAACTAACCAATACTGGTAACCTTTTATATACCTCCATACAGTATTCATTCTTTTTCTGGATCAAATGGTGTAGAATTTCTATGGTAACCAGTCAGGGATAACAACATCCAAAAGGACTTCTTTTCTCAAACAGTGAATGAAGCAATAATATATCATAAAAAGTAAATAACTATAATCTAGAAATGTGCCAATCAGAACAAAAAATAGGATACTCAAGTCAACGACAGCACCCAAGTTGTCCGAGTTAGCAATAAACACGTACTCCTTACCCTGCAAAATAGACACAAATGCAGGAAAGAATTATACCTGGGCTATGAGAAAATAATTAAATGACCACAAAAAGCATCAAGAGACAAACCTGTGACAATAACAGATCAAGTTTTCCACTGTTCTTAAGGGATGGAAACACATCACCGTGGCCAGGAGGATACCTTCATGTGCATAAAATAATCATGAGTAGAAAGCAATGGAATTTGCATGAAATTTCACTAGATAAAAAATGTATTCCTATGAAGTACAGGGCTTAGGTGTTTTTTTATCTAGACCTCTAAACCAGAGTGCCAAGCCAACAGTCACTCCCATGACTTATAGAATGGTAAAGAAAAAAGATTAAATCATACAAGTAGGATGTCAATTAAGTGTACAAAAACACATAAAAAAAAGCTAAATTAAACACAACCATTTGAACAATAGCAGATACAAATTAAAGGAGACCAATAAAAAATGTACACCTAAAATTGTATGTCTGTACGTATATGTCTCATCTATTTCAAATGTATGTCTGTATAGTGTACACCTATAAAAAGTCCTGCAGTCTCCATAGTCATAGCACTAAATCATAAAGAAAAAAGGAGTAATATCAAAGGAAGAGAAAAGGTATAAGTTATACCATCCATCCTTGCCAGTCTGTCCTTTGGATGGCAGTGGTGAAAAATCTTCAACAACCAGACGAGGATACTGACTCTGTACACCCAAAAATCATATAGTAAAAGGTATAAGTTCATTGCTTTTAAGTATTTAATATGCACACATATGAAGTAAAAAAGGTGATCAAGATTCAAGAAAGGTGCCACAGACCTGGTTAAAAGTATGAATCTGAACATTTGACTTGGAATACTTCTCTACAATCTAATGGAGACAAGACCTAGTTAGTTCACGGTAAAATTTAAGGACAAAAACAAAAACTACAGCGGTACATTCTCAAACCTTTTGAGTATCATCATGAGTGTTGAATGAGTTCATCAAAAGCAAGGGAACACAGCTACCATATTTGTTATTGAGATTCTGTGACAGAATTAACAGGGTAAGTGGTATAAACACAAACACACACACACACATAGAGAGAGAGAGAGAGAGAGAGAGAGAGAGAGAGAGAGAGAGAAGAAGAAGAAGAAGACAAGAAGATAACCTCAATCTGGATGACAATCAAGTCCAGAAATGTCAACCCATTTCGAACTTCAATGACAGACCTACATGACAATAAAACTGGACATTAAATCATTGATGTTATTGAAACGAGATGGACAGTCAGAGGTTTATTACATTGTATGTATCTGTCTTCATTAAAAACATATTCAAACACTAACATTGAACCGAAAGAAAAAAAATTCAGAATCCAAGATTAATTCAGAATACAAATATCATATACACTTTTTCATCTATGATCTGATTTATAAATAGTAGCCTTTCACTAAAGGCAAAACGAACGTTTCACTTTATATTATCAAACCTTACAGGATAGTTCTGGTCTACATTAAATTACAAAAGTTAGTTTAGTTTGATCAAATTGTAATTGAATCGTGAGAAACGAATTAAAATTTGACATCAGGATACTATATATTTTATTTTTAATCCAACTATAATCAGGATGGATTTAAATCTTTTGACATGCAGCATTAACAGCCCCATTTTCATCAGAGCAGTTCATCTAGGAATTTGAATTATTCGATGCATTTCTAACAAGATGAACCACTGCAATACTTAAGCAATAGAACAACAACGCAAATCCAGTCATATAATACAAAAAGAAAATGTAATCACAACGAGATTTAAATGCATACTTGGGGCCAGTGCAACCCATTGTTGTTCCCAAACCTCCATTAAGCTTAAGCACAACAAGCTTGTCCAAAAGCTTCTTGATCTCCTCAGGATCTGCATCGATCAAGAATCCAATAAATCATAACCATACACAACTTACAATTAAACACTCGAAATCAAGAATTGAAAATGAATCACAATTAAGATTAAAATTACCTTCAGGAGTAGGTGCCAAGCCATCATAAGGAACGACTACCTCGTCAGTAGGAGTCTGGATCTTACTCCACTCCACATGCTGTGCTTCTTCTCCACTGAAACATGCATAGTCAGATCACATTCCATCAAAAAGCCAATCAAGATGCACAAATTCACACAGATTTGAGTGCCAAATTTCTCATCATTTTCTCATCAACCAAACAGAAAAATAAAAAACAAGAAAATTTGATTCAATTCAGTTAACCTGACGTAGCGAGAGACGAGGTTGATGAATCCGTTCTTCTCATTCTCGCTGCAAGAAAGTAAGAGATAGATCAATAAATCAGGCTCAGATCACACAGAAATCATGGAATTCCAGAAAAATGGATCCAACGGGAAACTCGACCGCCATTACCTGATCTGGCTCAGAGAAGCGACGTCAGATTTGAGCTTGTCGACGTTACCGGTAGCGACCGCAGCCATTGGTGAAGCAGCGCGAGAGCTTCAAAGTTCTAGAGAGGGAGAGATGAAGGTGATATGAGCTGTGTGAACGTTGAGGAATGAGACTGACTCTGAAATTTGGGAAATTTGGACAAAGTATTTGTATTTGGGGTGGTGTATTAATAAGTGAGATTTGGCCAAAAACTAATTAAATAATTAAATAAATAATAACTAGGTGGTATTTTTGGAACGGTGAGAGGAATATGCAGGCGAATAATACGATTTGGTCCAGCTTCGTCCGATTTCGCAAAATAGTAGCGCCCCTTTCACGCAAGGGGAAAGGAAGGGGACACCTCACCTCAATTCCCTTCCCCCGCGAGTTTTCGGTTGACGTCTAATCCGCATCTAAACTAACTGTCCGAAAGCAGTTGCAAATTCTTAACTCTTCTAAAATTTGTTACAGTGATAAACACACTCTTACGTTACTTAAGTAGCGTTATAAATTTATGTTATGTAATATGATTTAACTAATACTATTGTTTTACAACTAATGAAAAATCATGGTTATTCATCTCTTCCGTGTCCAAAGAGGCTATGGGGATTTCACCCCACTCGTGATCACGATCAAGCAGACTCATCAGCTCGAAGTATCAAACTCAAAACCTCACATATTTCTTAGTTTATTGAAGAGCCACAATCTACGGCTTTCCCACTGGGCCATTTGTGTGGTTAACTAATAATATTGTTTAGTTGTAGAGATTTTAAATTTGGCCAAGATAAAGTATTGTATTTATGATATTGTTATAAAATAAATCTTTCATATGATATTAATATGTAAAATCATATGTTATGATCGATGTACTTATAATAGTAAGAAATTATTCTCTTAATCTTCGGGATCAATAACTTTTGAATTTAATATCAAAATTGAAATTAGTGATGCATCTTTATTCGGTAGGCGATGAAGATTGAAGAAAACAGAAGCATGACGGAACTACGATTCTCATTATCTTATGAAGATATAACTTCCGAAACAATTTTGCCACGTCTAAAGTTTTAAGGCTTTTCTTTTGTTTTTCTTTTATTTTGTTTATCGGGGTGTCTTTCTAAGTTTTGTTTTTTTCTGGGGCTGTGATAGGTTGTCAATTTGTCAGATTCAGATATGGTTGTAGAGAAAATGATAAAGTCATCTAACTTCATGGTATCTTGGCCCATCTACTTTATTATACACACCCAACGGGATGAGATGACCATGGGGCCCATCAGTTCCCTTCCAAGGCTTCAACGAAGAAGGACCCACAAGTGTATTAGGAGGTTTTCGACCAAAAACTGTATTGGAGGCCCAATTGTTTAGCGGCCCAAGAGTCCAACGCGCACAATTTTTTGTTGTTCTAAAAGTCAAGGCACATACTATTTCCCCAAAGTGATGGGAAAGACATCTTCTCCGGATCTTTTCCACCAAAATCATTGGATTAAGTGATCTAAACCCTTAAAATTTGATTCAATGACTAAAAACAGGAGCCCCTTTAAAAGTTATAATAACTTTAACCGTTAGATCAAATTTTAAGAGTGTAGATCACTTGATCCGATGGCCTTGGTAGAAAAGATTCGGAGATGATCTCTTTCTGAAGTTTATATGTTGCTCAACTCTTTTTTTTTTTTTTGGAACAAACAGTATTATCTACACTAAAAGAAAAGGGGCAGGCTTAGCCTCACAATGGCCAACAATAATGTGGTTCAAATTTACATTTGTCAAGAGAGAACCTAAGACCTTTCACATACAAGTGAAGAGGAATATCACTAGATCATAATACTAAGTGGTTATATGCTTCATAACTTAAACATAAATAAATAAATAAAAACTAATGAAAATGGCTTAAAAACTTTGAGTTTTAATGATAAGGACAAAATAAAGGATAAAATGAATAGTACCAATATTGACTTTTTAGAATTAAAATATGGTTTTTCGTTAAAGTGAAAAGTACAGTAGGATTTTCGTTAAAACTCCCTAAAAAAATGTATTGATTAGAATTTTTCTTTTTGTCTCATGAACGAATTTAATGAAATCAAAAGGTTCAACGCTATTTTAATTTGAGTGTTGTTATACTCACCTAGCATCTCTATTTTTCACCCGCTTTAGAATAAAGATTTTATTAACAAATTTATTCTTTTAAATGACCATCAAAGACATGTTAATCATCTATGTTTTGCCACATGAATATTAGTTATTAACTCAGGAAAAATAGATAAAATAGAATGAAAAGGACTTGAGTGAAAAATGCCTTGTTCTAATTAATGCTGGTTTCTGTGCTAAAGCTGGACTCTGGATAGTAACCAATCTTAGGAATCCAATTTTTATCTCTGTATCAAGAACTCAATTATGGGATTTTCAGGGTTGGGATTCCTGATTTCGAATGAATCCCGCTTGTTTATTGATTCCTAGAGTGGTGGTAAAAATTCGAATCACTTGGAATGAGTGCAATTTTCATTCATCTCATTACATTCTTCTTACGTAAACACGTCACTTGGCTATTTAAGAATGAGTTAGAAGTCCTGCTCAAAACTCTTTGTATTCTCATCACATAGTTTTGTTCTTATGATCAAAACTATTCATATTATGAAAGATCCATGAAAGATCTATGGGAAAAAAATTAATCAAAATAAGATTGTTTAGCAAATACATAAATGGTTTATAATACTTTTAATTCATTTGGTACAATAGATTGATTAAACGACCTTATTTTATTTTTTTTATTTTTTTATTTTTTGCAAAGATAGTTTAGCATATAATATGAACATTTCTGATCATAAAAACAAAATTTTGTAATTCGAACACGAAGAGTTTTGAACTTTTGAGTAGGAGTTCTTAATCATCCTTGAATGAGCGAGCATTGGTCTCTCTTCTCCTATTTTCGTCCTCTTTCCTTCGCTCCTTTCATACTTTGCTTGCTGGAGGGTCCTCTTCTTGCTGCGGCTGTTGTTGGACTGCCGTGAGAGCGTGGGTTGGATCAATGGACGCCCAACAGAGGGCCTCAGACTCAAAGGTGAGATCACGAGAACGCATGTCATTGAAGGAGGGTAAGAGTGTTGTGTGTTTTTATACTTGTGTGTAGAAAAGGGCCTTAGCCTCGATTGTTGTCAACTGACTATTCTCCAAATGATCTTGCTTTCTTAGCATATGTCCCCAATGTTGAAGATCAAGCCTTGAAGGATGCCCTAATCAAAGGTTGGAGGAGGACTGAGGTTGAACATGACTTTAAAATTCATTGCATTAGTCGTTTCGCATCTCATTTGTTGAACTTATTAAAATCAAATAGTAAAGACATATTGCTAAAACATTTACGTCAACAACTGAACTTAACATCATAGAACAGATTGATCAAATAAAAGTGTTTGTTCACACATCTATATTATTTCTCACACATTCTTGCTAATCTTTAGTTATCGAACTTTTTCGATTCATTCGATATGATGGTCGAAAATAAAAAAAAATATGTATAAAAAATTAAAAATAAGTGTGTGAATCTGTTTGGCCCAAAATAATATTGTTGGGCCGAGCAGCAGGATGTGCTCGGCCCAAGGTTATGTCATACTGTGGGTCGAATGATAATTCCCGGGCCTGTTAGCAGGGTCGGTCAAGTCCTACCCTAAGTAATCTGGATAAATAGAAAAGGTCGAGGGAGTCCTGGTGCGACCAGGATTCCCGACCGGCAAAGAATAAAGCCTCGAAATGAAGGAAAATTCAGAATCCCAGTGGGAGTAGGTTTGTTCGAGTTAGAGTTGAAACGGAACAAGGACTCCCAATCCGAATCAGAATGCGAATCGGTCTCAAGGAATGGGGTGCTATAAATACAAGAAATCATGCAACAGAAAAGCCCCTTCAAATCAGCATACAATTGCCCTGCGCAAAACCTCTCAAATACCTTGAGATTTTTCCTTTTCCTTTTCCGCCGACATACCTTCAGTTTGGATAAACAGCACTGTGGAGGCACCCGGCGAGCATCTTCAGTTTGGACAAACAGCACTGCTGCCGCAGAATCAGCCGACCGAGAAGCACCTTCAGTTTGGATAAATAGCACTGCGTCGAGGTCGACCGGTTACCTATCTAAGTTTCGGCCGAGAAAGGATTTCGAACCTTTGTTGGCAGAGGTCACCTTGTTAGCCTTCTCGGCATAGTCAGGTGTTACAAATTACATTGCTCGGTGTACTGGACGCCGAGTGATTTTATGATTGGATACTCGCAAGTAAGTTTCAGGGTTCGGCATTCCGACGGCCGAACTACGTTTACCATTAAGACATACATCACATTTGAGTACCTGTGCCTATATAGTTTGGTCTCGATTCGGCGTGCTTATACTCTTACGAATATAATCACAGTGACCGAATCGGGCTCCGACGATTTGTGAACTCCACAGAATTAGTAGCCTTGTCTTCAGGCTATAGAACCCAGAGACCGAGAGTGTTCCTTCATCGGTCGCAATCGCAAGATAGAGAAGTCAACGACGCGCTCAACGCGACATCAACAAATTTTACTTCTCGGCCAAGCTCAGCCGACGAGTTGGCACGCCCCGCATTCAACCGAAGGACGTAGTTAGCTTGTTAGTTACTCGGCCTGCGCGCCACGTAGGTTTTGTAATTTTTAGAGGCAACATAATCACGCGAAAATGTGATGAACTAAAATTTTAAAAATTAATTATTTCAACCAAGGGCTTGGGCCCATGAAAAACCATTTGAGATGCGACTGTAAGTCTGAATCAGAGTGAAACATTCATCTTTCAACAAATTAATATATGGGTGTTTGGAGAATTCACACAAGGAAGGGGATCATCTTCAGATCTCTTACACCAAATCCATAAATTCGGACTTTGAAATTTTAACGATTAAAATTATTATAACTTTTAAATGAACTTTTGTTTTTAATTGTTGGATTAAATTTTAAAAGTCCAAATTTATAAATTTGATGAAAGAGATCAGAGAGTATCTCTTGAATTCAACCACAGAATGGCCTTTGTGCTAAAAATTGAGCCAAGATCCAATGACAATGTCAGCTGCTGGGGTGGAAGGCAATGTGAAAAAAAGTTCAGAAAAAGGAGGTCACCAGTTTCAGACATAAAAGCGAATATCTAATCGAAAGATCTTTAGAGCCAGATTCTCTGTTCTCGCACTTCTCATAAACTCATATTCTTTTTCTATTTATGCGATTGCGGTTAAGGTACGTTAATATTTTATATTAATTTTTTTATAAAGATAATAAAATAAAAAAATCATAATAATATAAAATATTAACGTGACTTAACCGTAATCGTAAAAAAAAAAATAAAAAAAAAAAAGATGGAAGTGAATGAGAAATGGAAAGGGCACAAAATCTGTCTCCAAGATCTTGAGCCTCTTGCTGGAATTATGACTGGAGCATTCCAGTCCTGCGACACCTGGCAACCTCTATTATTACCAAAACACCCTTCTAAAACTTGTGGACAGAAACGATTTACCGGCTTACTATTATTATACCCATGGGGTGGGGCTCAGCTGAGACACAGAGGCCTAGAAGCATCGTTCGGTTCCTGGACACGTGGCGGCGGACAATGGAACTTTTGGCGGTCAGTGGCGATGACTTGGAGAAAAGCGCAGGAAAGAAAAGAGAAAGTGCACCTGCTCAGCTCAATCTCCAACTTTCAACCGCACATCCTTTTTTCCTTTTTTTTATTTTTTTGGGATTTTTTTTTTATGTATTCCCCAGCTCCTGGCCTACCTTTTGTTTCTCTGTCCTCCTTGCAAGCAAGTTTATAAGACAGGAATAAAAGTTTTATTTTTAATTGTTAGATTAAATTTTAATAATTTGAATTTTTAAATTTTATAAATTAAAAAGAAATGATATCTAAAAAGAAACTCTTTCCTATTTTATAGGCTGCCAGATACTTTAGCTTTTTATCTACACCACAAAATATCATCCGGACTCCGGAGCATTTTTCAATTTGTTTTTGTTTAGGTTCTTGTGCGTGTGGTGACGTAGTGTACTCGCTTCATGCAATTTCACATTTGGAATTAACTTTTTATTTTTATTTTTGATTTTAAAAATTTCGCTCAGCAGCTTTCGAACTAATATATGTATTTTCTAAAAGAAAGCATGACCGTATTTTTTTTTCAAATGCTCTTTAATTTACAAGCGATATAAAATATTAAAAAGAGGGAGATAATTTGAATCTGAAATACAGTAAATTGAATGAATGCACTTTCAAAACTATAGTTAATTGTCTCTACTCTTAATATTTGACAAATAATGGTTAAATTTGTAAAGAGCTATGCAGTGCTAACGAGATTAGATATTAGTTCAAAAATTGTGACAAACAAAATGAGTCTTGTTCTCTTGATTACTTAGTGACTGAAGATATATTCTTGTTGGATTTAATATCAAGAGTTGGGACTAAAAAATTCAACAAATATTTATTTATTCTCCATTTTTAATATCAAATCTTTGAAAGAAGAAAAAGTTATTTCACTGAGACGTGTAAGAAGTTATTATGTTGCGCTCCAAGCTTAGTATGACAAAACAACTATGGGGTTGAGACATATTTTCTTGAATACAAGAAAGTTGTAATTAATAAATTATCTTCATAATAGTGTAGAATATCACTTTTAGTAAATAAATAAAATAGAAGAAGAAGAAGATTTGGAAATTCTCTTTCTCCAAAGTATCCAACTTTTGGAGATAGAAGTGAGTTGGTTGATGAAGAACGTGATGTGTGAGCCATTCAAGCACGACTACGCTCTTGCAATGATTTTCATTGCGAGTACAGCTTTTGCGCATATTTAGCCAATTTCGACTGAATTTTCATCACAAGCGGCACCCAAGAGGGGGGTGGGACAAGACAGATGTCCGCCACGCGTCGATGGCCTCCTTGGTCGTGAGCCACATGATTCCATCCAATTCTCAACCTTTCTATTTTCTCACAAAACAAAAATAATAAAAGAAGTCCATGGAAAATTCATGTGGTAAAATCCGTTAAAATATATAATTTAAATAGAAAATTTAGTTACCTTTGAATGACTAACAATAGCGTCAATAAATTTTTTACGATTGGGGCTATTTTTTAAATAGTAATGCTAGAAGGATTAATTAGTAAATTAATTTTGTAAATTAAATGACATGGAAGTTATAAGTGAATTATTACGTAAATATTAATAAACATACTTATTTTTTTTTAATAACATATTATTTAATTTGTAAATTTAATTTACAAATTTAATTTTTCTATAATTATTATTTTCCAAGTACTCTTTCAGCACGGGATCATGTATCCAGTTCATCAAGGAAAAAAAAAAAAAACAACGGCCACAAACCCTACACCTATTCAACAATCTCTGTCTCTTCCTCATTTGCTTTTAACTCTCCTCCTTACTTGCTTTCTTCTTCATTTTTTCTGTACTTTTTTATTCACTTGGGGTTTTGCTATTTCTGGCATCCAAGTGAAACCCAGTTTCTTGTTTTTTTTTTTTTCGGAAGCAAGAAATCGACTCCAATTTTGGAGGACCGGAGAGCTGAAAGCAAATACGGAGGGGTTGAGATTGGGACAGTGATAAAAAAATGGGTCGGGGAGCGTACAGCACCGGTTGGTTGAACCGAAAGAGTGTAAATTTATGATTATTTTCTTGCTGTATGAGCGTGAGGAAGACAGAGACAAGGATTTGCTGCGGTTCTTACAAGCCGAAGGGGTGAGGAGAAACGGTGTCGTAACGGGGAGAGCTGAGGAAGAGGTCAACTTTGCTTGGTGGGTGGATTAATGGGATCTTCAGACATGGCTGCTCAAGTATGCATCCACAAATTACTTATCTTATAATATAACCTGCATACTCTGTTTTATTGAATTTTTTTATGGATCACTGAAAATTCCATTTCTGTTGTGATTTACTTTTTTTTTTATTTTTTTATTACAAACGATTTATAAACTTTTTAAAATGACTCTTGATACTTTCTACTTTATGAATTTATTTGAATTTGGACAATTTCTGGTATTTCTTTGAAGAGGAGGATGAATTGAAAGAACCCTTTTTCTGAATCTGTACAATTCTTTAAAAAGTTAGAAAATTTAGTGTTAGATTTTTAATTTTGTATTGTTGTTATGTAGGAGGAATTTGGTAGTAGTGGATCAAATGGTGTTGATTCAGCTGGCACTGGGATCTCACCGAGTGCCGGTGGGGTCCAGTTTAAGGATGATCAGTTCTCTAGTGGAAACGACTTTACTCCCAAGGTTTCAATCTAATAATTTCAATTTTACTTTGTTCATTTACTTTTTGACAAAGCGATATTCTAGACTACTCGAATCTAATCTACGGGGAGGGAGATTCAAACTCGTGCGAGGGCTAACAAACCGGTCTAACGACCCACATCTGCATTTTATTTTGTTGATCAAAATTATGATTAATTGTTGTAACGTGCGACCTTCGTTCACCTGCCCTCCGTTTCGATTTTATTAGGTGAGAAAACCGTACACAATCAAGAAAGAGAGAGAGAGGTGGACAGAGGAAGAGCATAAGAAGTTCCTTGAAGCTTTAAAGCTCTACGGTCGAGCGTGGCGAAAGATAGAAGGTAAGTTTTGCATTAAAAGCATAAAAAAGCAGCATATTGATTTGTTTAGAGTTGCTGTAATGATATCTCAGATGTAAAAAGCTGGCTGAGATTGCACCTCACATGCTTGTTTGAACAGATTCGATTTCTGGTTTTAAAGCTTAAGATGTTAAATAATAGCATCCGTCTTACGTTTACTGAAATATTCTGTTCGAATGACAGAGCATATTGGCACGAAGACTGCGGTTCAGATTCGAAGCCATGCTCAAAAATTCTTTTCTAAGGTTGACCAGTCTTATTTCAGTACCCCCATTTTCAACCATAATATCTATATCCCCATCTGTTAATGTAAGTTAAACTTTATTGAATCAAGGCATGTAAACCATTCGGGGAGGAGGGTTCATGCGTTCTTGCTTGATGTTTTGTTCCGACTCCTGAAGTCTTTCTTTCTTGTAGGTTGCTCGTTACCCGAATGGTGGAAATGCAACCTCGGAAGAGCCTATTGACATCCCTCCTCCGCGACCAAAAAAGAAGCCAATGCGTCCTTATCCCCGAAAACTTGTACACCCTCTTGATAAAGAGACCTCAATTGGAGAGCAGCCAACAAGGTCCCCGTCTCCAAATTTATCTGTTTCGGAGCAAGAAAACCAATCTCCCACATCAGTATTATCAGTTATTGGTTCAGATGCACTGGGTTCAACTGATTCAAATACACCCAGTGATGGTTTATCCCCCGATTCATCTGCTGCTGGTGTCAATAGTGAGAACTTAATTCATTCTGAGCCCAACCCATTACTTGAGGAAAGCGGATCTCCAATAAACAATTGTTCACTTCCTAACAAGCAATTAACAATGGTATATGCTTGTTTGTTGGCATATCTTTCAAATTTTCAAAACGAATAAGCCTTTTATTTGATATTGATACTCTACTGGTTGTGTGTGCTGATTACATCCAGAAGCTCGAGTTATTTCCCACGGATGATGTTGATGCTAGTGGAGGTTCAGCCAAGGAGGCATTTGCCCGAAGCCTTAAGCTCTTCGGAAGGACTGTATTAGTCAGAGACTCCCACAGACCGTCTTCTCGAGCTGCAGGAACTTCTCAATCACTGCCTTCTGATGTGCAGGAGGAGAAACCTGTGCAGACATCGTTACCATTTAACTTTACGGATATGCAATCTGCATCCGGGAATGTAGAACATGTTTGGGATAATTTTCCCTATGGAGGACATCAAGGCATCTACATCATGCAATTTCAGAATCAAAACTCAGATGCAGTAGAATCTGGTACTAATGCTTATCCTGTACCGTGGTGGACCGTTTGTCCGCCTTTTATTCCATTCCATAAGCAGCAGCAGCAGCCAGTGAATGAACATGTTGATTCTAAGAAAGTTGATGGGGAAGGTTCTTGTACCGGTTCAGATGCCGGATCAGCCAGTGATGAGGAAAATCGTGACAAAGACGATGAGACGCAGGGCGATCATTATCAACAGGTTTCTGATAAAGACGGAGAGCCAAACTCAGTTCTTCAGTTTAAGGCGAGCGCAAACTCAGCCTTCTCGAAAATAAGAGCAAGCACTGGAAAGTATAGAAAAGGATTTGTACCGTATAAAAGGTGTATGGCCGAGAGAGATGCCAAGTCCTCCACAGTGGCAACTGAAGACGGGGATGGGAAAAGAATCTGCCCTTCGTTATGGCGTCCTCCTGTGTTAGTCAAGACTCAAGAGGCCCTGCCCTTATTTCACAGAACAAGTTAGGAACTTGGTCGGGTACCGTAACCGTATAGTTGAAGACGAATAGTTGAAGAGGACGTTTATCATTTTTGAGCTGCTGGTACTACAGCCTTCGTATTGTTACTTCTATTTTTTTTACTTGTTTGTAACTGTGAGTTTCTTACTTATAGACTCGGTACTGTTAATGTTAACACAAATGAGCACAAAGTGAACAAACAATTGTTCTCCATGTTTGTGTGGACAAGCCTTTGATGATGATCCTGGGATGCTGCAACACCATATTTTCGCCATACTAATTGGGGCATTGGTAAACAAATGAACTGATGGGCTTGGACTTCTAGCCTACTCAAGTGGCAACACTCACTGGGCAAGACCCAACACTTTAAATGGCGATCGAGTCGTGTTATGATATACCCGATATCTTAACAGATTGTGTTGTGTTTGTGTTATCTACATGTCTACATGACAATATCCAATATCTTAATGGATTGTATTGTGTCAACCCTTTTAAAATCAATGGGTAATATGACTTGACTCGTTAATTTAATGGGTAATATGACTCAACCCATTTTACCCGTTAAAGAAAATATATTTTATTTCGATAAATAAACATCATACTAAATTATTAAACATGCAATATCGACATACCATATTATCATATAAATATTATTTCAAAACATAAAGATGAGATAAGCCTGTGATTATGGTAGAGGCTTAGACGACAAAACGACAAAATGAGACATAGAGATGGCGATGGGAGGGAGAGAGAGAGAGCGAGCGTCGACATAGAGAGAAGACAAATGGAGTCGAGTTGGTACTGAGAGTCTGGGAAAGACATAGAGTGAAAGGGTATTAGAATCCAACGGTAAGGATTTAATCTCACTTATATGAGATTAGATCCTATGCTATTGTGGTTGGTTTTTTTAGTAGTTCAAAATTATCAAACCAACATTTTTCTTAAAGGGTTATCTGCAGGTAAATTTATTCTGATATATTATTTAATGGATGATCTGATAACAATCATATTAGTTAACGTGTTGATCGAAAATTTGTTTTTTTGTTTTATTTCATTTCGGATTAAAATAAGTTAGTGCAATAAATTGTCAAGTATCATCTCAAAATCAAATGTCTAATTAACTTAGATGAGCTAGCTAATAACTCTTAAATCAGTCAATTACGGACGTCACGTTTGCTTTAATGAATCATCTTCGACCATGAGAATGTAGTCATTCGTCGACCAAGTAATTCGAGCTGTTGGATTTATGCGCGAGCACTTGGCTCATACCATGCCACAAGGTTTAACCTGCCTTTTCTCTTTCTTGGTTCCAGTGTCGGTTTTGGGTTTGAAAACCTGTGTCATTACACAGCCCTGGGGCTCTCTAAAAAGCAGGTCAGTGGCCCTTCTTGCGCCCTTTTGAGTCTTAAATCATTTTGAGTCACTCACACACAAACGAGGATTCCCTCCGGATTTTTTTTGTGAAGACTCTGATAATTTTTAAATTTTTTTATTCATTGTATATCGTACGGTTATAAATATTTTTAAATACTTTTATTGAAAAATAAATATGAATGATATCTGATGAAAACTGACCGCGTTATATACGATGAACATACAAGATTTGATGATCTTCAGGATCCTCATAAAAAGAATCTGGAGAGAATCCTCATTCCTCACACACCAAGTGGGTTTGGGCTCGTCCGGGTTCAATGAGTTTGATTTTTATTTTTTATTTTTTTTGGAGCACATCTATATTTTTATACTAAGGAGAGGAGAAGTTCGGTTAAGCCATACAAAGAACAGTCTAATTTGATATCGAATTCACCATCCACGAGATTCGAACAAAAAACCTCTCACTTTCCAAGTGAAGAGTCCGGAATTATTTCGAAGCTCATTTTAAGCACCGTGACAATTAATTAAGCTATTTAATTAAATTTCAATCCTTATCCCAATTAGTCACATTACTTATTTCAATAGGGATGTGATATTAACACATCACTTTTTACTTTTCAAACATTTTTTTAATTTTTAACTGTCGGATCAGATGAATTGAAAAATATCAACATACATAAATTAACAAAAAATATGTGAGTAGTAAAAAATGGTATGTAGATAGCACATCTCATGTCAATATCGTATACCGAACATAACGAAGGAGAAAGCTCGACTGCAATCAGAAAGGAGAAGACTCGTTCGTATTGATGATAGATGACATGGAATACTATGTTAATGGCATTTCTTTTCATGTAAAAATGATATTTCAAATTTGGACTAGCAAACCACAAAGTACTACAGTCTTGTAATATTTTTTTTTCACTCATAAGTAAGAGATCTTAAGTTCGATTATCGCTAAAAGCGAATTTGAACCACATTATTGCTAGCTCATTATGAGTCTTTACTAACTTCCCCCTTAGTATAAATAATATCGTTTGTTAAAAAAAGAAAAGAAAATTAAACTAACAATAATGTGGTTCAAATTGTCTATTTTAATATTAAAATGAGATTTTTTTTTCTTTTTGTTTTTTTTAAAGGGGAACAACTAGTGGCAAGTCACGGTTATCCACCATTTTAGGAATCGGGAAGACTCACAGAGACATTTCAGCCTTCCCTGACTATAAATCTGGCTTCCACACCAACAATGGATTTCGAACCCGAAATCCTCAAATTTTAATTTGAAAAAAAACCTTACAATCCATATTTTACCATTAGATCACCTGTCCGTGATTATCAAAATGAGATTTTAAGTTGAACTCTCACAAATTACTCATTTGATATCAGATTGTCTATTATAATATCATTGCATTAGAAAATTGATTAATAATTAAGACAATTAGAAGACAATTAGTGGTGCGAGCCGCAACGTGAGTGACAGCGTCCGTCCCATGAGCCTAAAAAGCGAAAAACACCATTTAAATAAATAAATAAAATGCAAAATGTTTTCTCTTTCCGTCTTTACCTGTACTCTGTCTCTCCCTCTCTCTGGATCACTCTCTCACTCACTCATTCACACAAATCCTTCCTCGAACGAGAAAGCGATTTAATAACGCCGACGACAGAAAGCCGACGGCGTTTAAACAAAGAACGGCTGAAATGTCGCCGCCAGCTCTCGCCCTGCTCCTCCTCCTCCCACTCGCGCTCGCCTCCACCGCCCTCTCCCACTTCCACTCCTCCTCCCCCTTCCCCACCGCCTCCCCCTCCCTCTACGACTGGACCTCCGCACGTGCCACCTACTACGCCGCCGCCGACCCCCGCGACAAGGTTGGGGGCGCGTGCGGGTACGGCGACCTCGAGAAGGCCGGGTATGGGCTGGCGACGGTGGGGCTGAGCGAGGCGCTGTTCGAGCGGGGCCAGATCTGCGGCGCGTGCTTCCAGGTCCGGTGCGTGGAGGACATGCGGTGGTGCATTCCTGGGACGTCGATTATCGTGACAGCGACCAACTTCTGCCCGCCGAATTACGGGTTCACGGCGGAAGGCGGGGGCCACTGCAACGCGCCGAACAAGCATTTGGTGCTTCCCATCGAGGCGTTTGAGAAGATCGCTATTTGGAAGGCTGGCAATATGCCCGTCCAGTATCGTAGGTTGGTCCTTGGACTTCCAATTTTGTTGCCCTCTACTTTACTCTTTCCTATCTTCATTTTCCTTTTTTACCTTCTTTCTCTGCTTAAAATATATTTTTGTTGTCTTAAATGTGAATTATTATTGAAAATGATGTATGTGTAAACACGAAAATTCGTGCAACGAATAACAGAAGAGCACGTGAACAACGAAATTTCGATGTCTACAGTATTGGAAATGGTACCATTAATATTGTTGTCTAATGGGATTGTGTCCTGGGTTCAAACCCTTCACGTCGCCTAATGTAGCTAAGAATAAGAATATCGCATGTGATAAACTGCTGTAGATATGAGGAATTCCTTCGAAAAGGTGGTCTGGTATTTGACCAAGATCTTTCAATATATAGGCTTTAGAGATCGATTTTCAATGCTTAGTATGGCGTATGGTAGTTGCAATTTGGCAAGTGATTTTGCTTAATTACTAATAAATTGAGGTTGCTCATAAAAGCTGTGAGAGTGTGGCTGTGCACGACAGCATTTTAGGGTTGAATTTGAAGATGTATGGGGAGTGTTAATTACAAATTTGGAATTAGCTTATAGGATACCAAGGTGGTTTTAGTCAAATAAGAACCTGAGCCGAGTACGGCATTCTTAAAGGAATATAAAGGTCAAAGAAGGTTTTCTGGTTGCATATTTGATGGAACAGTGTTCGATTTTCAGGATTCACACACACCATGTCAGAAATTGGTGGCACCTTGGCATGTGCTGAGGCATGGGAGCTCACTCACCAGTCACCAGACAAATGAGGCATCTCACCTCATATTTTCAAGAAAATGAGCAAACATTGTCCAGAGTTTCATTTTTTTGAACTATGAAAATGTTAGCCTGGATTGCAAAATCCCCTTTTTGTGGTTTTTTCTAATGGAAAAGAAAGAATAATACGTAAGACATCACGACAAAATAAGATGTGTTTAACAGCATCCCGATGCCTACTGTCATCCTGATATATTTTCCTCTTATTTTTGTTCATTGTGCTTGAAACAGGATCAAGTGTAGAAAGGAAGGAGGAATTCGTTTCACCATAGATGGTTCTAATATCTTTATCTCAGTGCTCATCAGCAATGTGGCTGGTGCTGGAGACATTGTTGCGGTGAAGATCAAGGGTTCAAGAACCGGCTGGCTTCCAATGGGGCGGAATTGGGGCCAAAACTGGCATGCAAGCGCCGATTTACTGAACCAACCTCTTTCTTTCGAGGTCACAAGCAGCGATGGGCGCACAGTTACATCTTACAACGTTGCTCCCAAGGCTTGGAACTTTGGGCAGACTTTTGAAGGGAAGCAGTTTGATTCTTAAAAGCACTGTTTCAATGAAATATTGCAAGAGAGACCAGTTTTGTATATCTTCCCTTTTTTGTTGCTTGTTCTATTTTTCTTTTGGTAATGAAGTACAGTTAGATTGCGGATGATGTTGTTGTACAAAGACCTATGCCGAAGCTTAACTATTAAAGGGACCCCGAATGTAAACTGATCTTAAGGTAGAGGTTGCGGAATATGCTGGTGCTCAGGGATGCACGGTGATAGAATCGCAAGGGATTGAGATAGAACCGCTCTGTTGCTACGGTAGCTGGGGAGTTCTCTGGAGCTGCACAGCGGTCTGATGATGAGAGGGTGTACCGGCGGAGTGTAGTTTGTAAGTACTGATAAATTGCTTGGTTCTGCTTCTGGGGTGGTGGTTGTGTTGATTGAAAGTTCATGATTGGATATCAAATTTATTGCGGGAATTTTGTTTCGGTTACATATAGTTTTGCTTGGCATGTTTACAATTGTGCTTGCTGCTCACAATGGATAGCGATAAATTTCCGTTACTGATTATCATGCCTTTCACCACATCGTGCGGTATTCGCACAAAAGTCCCGATAACTCCCACGAACCTAACGATATGTTTACTAACCTGGAATGAGAATGGCGTGGGGAGGAGTCATTCCCATTTCAGAAAGAGAAGCAAATCCCATCAACTGCACAACTTAAGTTGCATCCAACGTGTGCACAGCTGCATGCCAAAACAACCGTTACACTAAACTATTACATAACCATACTTTACTAAACTGTTCAGCCAGATTTGACCATCATATTCAGTACTGTAGAACATACGATACATGGTACGTGCAAACCAAGAAACACCACGAAATTTGCTAGGCAAAAACACAATGATGTAGGACAAGCAACCATAGCGAAAAGGTAGAGAACACTAGCATCAGACTAGCGGGGATTCTAGGAATCGCACCTACAGTTAGATTGCACCACAATCCTTGAGAGAAGCTTATATTTGCTAGAGATAAGAGTTCGTAATGAACCTAGGGTTCTATGACTTTTGGACTCCTCAATCATAACACACTTTACTTCATGGTTTTCACATTTCAACAAAGCATAGAAGACTGATAACAACTATGAGTTCCAGGCTTCCCTTACAATCAAAACATAAATGAAAGATATAAACAGTGTCACGTCCAGCACGATAAAAGCCATAAAAAAACTTTTTGGGTGTTGCTGTGTAGCTGCAATACAGACCACATGAAACAACATCCCATGATTGATCCCACAGCATATTCAAAGGTTTGGGCACCCTCTTCTGCGTCTCCTGGCATTCCCCAAAATCCCAATTCCAAAATACAAACCATTGGGTAGGAACCTTGAAACACCACTGCATATTAAGAGCAAATACGGAGCTAGTACCTTCCATTCCAACCTGCTTGTTAACTGTCCTTGCATAATCAGGGTTCTACGGCAAGCCAGAAAACTTTACTTTCTTTGATACCTAATCATTTATTACTGTTTTCCCTCGTCAGTTTAAAGAATACGACCCTAAATACAAACATCTTTGGATTAACCCTCCCCGACCCATTCTCAATCCCAGAAAAACGTTGAGTCCATCAACAAGGTTTCGATCCAAAAATTTATTCTTCTGGATGGATAGTTTCTCCCCATTTGTCTTCTCTTCCTCCTTGTATCTCATTACTAAAAAAGCCAAGGAACTGTATTTGAATTCAGCTTCCAGACAGGATGAACTTAAAGCCAAGACTATTTTACTATCTTCACAAGCATATTCAATATCATCCTTCTAACAGAAATTAATGACGTTTTCCCATCCGATAAATATACAAGTTCCAAGTATACGTTCATACCTGGAGGCAAACAATATGATGCCAACGCAGCCAGCTTGGTCACGTTGTAGTATTTTGGAAGGTGTCACTAGTATTCTATACATAGCAAGGTTATACTTGTTTAGCTCTCCTCTACAATTTCCTAATGAGAATACAATTTATGAGTCAACTTTAACAACTTTTCCTAAAGAGAGCAGCTACTTTTATGGATACTTAGTCCATAAACCTTAAAAACATGTAAAAGCTACAAGCTTCATGTGCACTGGATTTCTTACGAACGAAAACAGAACATAACTTCAAAAAACATGGTGCAAAACCATAAAACTTGCTGCGGAGTTAAAGCTAGCAAAGAAAGCACGATAGAATTGAAACAAAAAAACTTTTCGTGTCTGCTGTGATCTACGAAAGTGTGAAAAAAAAAAGGGACAGGTACTTTCTATCCAGGAAGCTCTTTGTGAATTGCCTTGAGTATATACTACACAATACAAGTAAGTATATTCAATATTCAGATTAATGCAAATCAGATACAAATGAATTTCAATCTCAACTGCTATCTCACATAAACTATACCGAGTTTTCCGAGGCCAAGAGAGAAACCTGGCAGAAACCGAAGATGCAAGATAAGAGGAGGAAGCAAAGGAGCCAACCAACCTCTCAGACGAATCAAAAGCTCACTCCATATGAAATCGAACCAGCGAGCCGGAGCAGGACATATACCAAGAGAAAACAAAAAGAATCAAATCAAAGCTTCTGGTGAGACTCGATGAGCAATGCATTTAGCATGATGTGCAGCACTGCTTCGTAAACACGCATATCATAATGCATTCCATCAACCGTACATCTAACCCCGCAATTCCAACTCAGGGACTCAATGTCCAGTAACCAAAGCGGACCGCCCGACTTCCGCAAAAGCTTACTCTTTTGAAGCTCCTTATCGTACTCACCCCGCATTACATCAGTCATCTTCTCCCTCTTCTCCTCCGTATTCAACATCGAGTTTATCAACGTGGGCATGCCAACCCAGAACAAGTGTGGCGTCCGGGCCGAACCAGAGCCTGAAGCCGAGATGGTTTCCGGCTTTTCAGAGCCAGTCTCCGGCGAAACTGGCAACAAGGACGCCGCAGATCTCCTGAGTGATTGCAGTTGAACACGGAAATCTGAAGCGTTGGTGAAGTGCAGCATGTGCCATAGCCCAGAACCCATCACCAACACATCCGGGAAGTTCCGATTTCGCTTGAACTTCGACACCAGATTGGTCAAATTCACAGTATAAGGAGCCCAGATGAAATCCAATCGCATCCCAATCTCGCCCACCACAATCTGATAATCACTGTGCCTCTTGAACAGATCCTTGTTAACCTTCTCCAGCGGCCCAGAATCCAGAACCAGGCTGAGCAGCGAAAGCGCCACCAGCCTCGCCTGAGAGTCTCCGGCCACCACGACCCAGGAGCCGTTGAGCAGATCGGAGGCGTCGAAACGACCCAGCTTCTGAAATCCACATGCAGAAACGGCGAAGGAAGAAGGCCAAGCCCAGGACTTGTCGTAATTGACGGTGTTGTTGTCGAGGGCGTTGAAATTGGGGGAAGGGGTAACCTCCCAAACAACGTCGTGGAGGTGGGAGAGGCAAGAGTCGCGGCGGTTCTCGAAGACGACGACGGAGGAGACGGTGGTGACGAAGTCGTTGACGGAGGGGAAGTAAGGGGTGAGGTGGACGCCGATGGCGAGAGTGATGAAGAGAGCGCCGCTGAAGAAAAGCATCTTTTTGCGGCTGAGATGGTATCCGGCCATGGCCATTGGGACCAAAACGACGACGCACGCAGCCAGCAACCCGAATGGCACAGCTCCTATCATGCTCGTGTTACTCTTCTCATCATATCAAACATCTGCTCGGACAAGAAAGTATTTGAATTTTCAGTGCGTTGCGAATAAATCAAATATTGTATTTCTGTACAAAATTGACTGTATTTTCATTGACCGACTGTGAAAGGAATGTTCCAACGACGACAAAACAGAGGAAGGAGGAGGAGGAAGTGGAGGCGGGGGCGGGGGCGGAAGAGGAGAGTGGGTGTTGGGTGTGGTCAACTTTGTTTTGATAACATCCACTCACATTAGCGGAGCCCAATAACAAAGCAAAATGCAGGCTAAGCCCAATAAAGTTATAAACTATAGTTTATGACAATAGAGCCCATATAAACCGACATGGGGATGAATTAGACAGATAATGTATGCCAAGAAAAAAAAAAAAAACAAAAAAAAAACCTCGAACGCAAAACTGTATGGTCCTTGTGCCGCTACCTTCCATCGCAAAATGGGCAGTGGTTTCTTCAGCATCAAAGTTTCGTTCCACTAACTCTTTGGGTGGCGACTATCGGACCAGGCTTGTGGTGTTCATCATGAAGGCTAGGGCGTGGTTGCCTCGTTTTTATGGTGGCTTCAACATGCATCCTTCATATGGGATTTTTTTTGTCTTTTCACATGTCCAAACCATCTTAACTGATTTTCTCTCATCTTGTTTTGGTGCCTATCTACAAGAATAATGACGATGTACAAAACTGCATGAATTATAGGCAATGGCAGAGCCATAAATTTTGCTTAGGAGGGGCATTTGAGACACATAAAAGAAATTAGATTAAATATAGCAATATAATTACTTTGAGAAAATTTAAATTTTTTTTTATTGGCACATAAAATTTATCAAACAAGAGTAATGGGGTTTTAAATTATTATGAAACATTTGGGATGATTATATTATAAGAACAACACTTATTTACGAGCATCAATAAAAAAAAAACAAAAAAGAAAATTCAAACAAAAATTTAAGGTCATAATTCAAAACTATCACCATGAGATTTTACTTTCAACATAATTGGATTTTCCTCTGATTTGAAATTAGTTGTTATATATTGTAAACCAAAAACCTAACTATAAGTTTAGTTTAAACTAAAAAAATCAAAAGGTTGTTGATGTCAATGAGTTTCGAACCCATGGGATGATGGGATTGTCAAAATACACTATATATATTTAAAATTTCAGGATAGGCCTAGGCCTAGCCTGGCCTCCATGTGGCTCCGTCTGTAACATCCCGTCCCGGGATTTATAGAAACGTACATTGAATTTACGATTTTACCCCTAGATCGTTTTTGTCACGTTATTAGTTGTTGGTGTGGTGTGGAATGTATTGGATTACACCCACACACACACACACTTTAACTTTCCGGGATTCCCTCCCTCATTCCCTCACTCTGTCTCTTTCTTTTTCTCTCACTCTCTCTCTCCCTCCCCGAGCTCCATTATTCCTCTTCTTCTTCTTCTCTTCTCAACACACGGACCATACACACAAAACCTACTCAAACCTACACCAATTAAGAAACCAAGACCACCATCGTGTTCGTGGAGCTGAGAGGAGTTCAAAGGTGCCATTTTCAGGTAAGAATATAGATGTTTTCACGTCGTTTCAACGAGGTCCGATTATTGCACTGTTCATGCAAACCTAATCTAGCTTGTTTTAGGAGATTCTAAGCTTGTAGATGTGTTTGTGAGGTCCCAAGGAGCCTCGGAGTAGTTCGTTGGGTGAATTTGGACGTCACGATCGTCCTGTGCAAAGTTGGCCGAGTTTTGACCTTGAAGACAGGTGAGATTCTTTAATTTTTAGGCCTTAAAACTAGTCTAACGTTGTTCTACTAGTCCTAGGCTTCATTTTGGTATAAAGAACGTGAAATTTGGTTGAAAAACGAAGGAGAAAACAAGGTTTGAAAAATTCCCAGTTTTCCGGCGCCGTCGCCGGCGCCGGAGGTTCGCCGGAGAAGACAGGGGAATATTCCGTTAAGTCTAACGGAATATTCCTAACGGCAGTGGACGAAATCTGGTTAGATTTGACGGAATATTCCGTCAGTTAACGGAATATTCCTGACGGCGTCTGTTGACACCGTCAGTGTGCAGTGCACGTGGGCCGCGCGTGGGGGCGCGTAGGTCCGTGCGTGTTCAGGCGCGTGGGGGCGCGTGCGTGGTCCAAAAATTTTTCTAAAAATATGTGTGTGATCCTGAGGTTGTGTAGGTCACGTTGGTATATTCAATTGTCCAATTTGAGCAATGTATGAGAAGTTATTACGAGAAGTTGCTTAGGTGCTTTTAAATTAACGTTTTCGTAACTTTGTCGCGTTTAGGTGATTCGTATTCCGAGGACGAGCGTACACACTCGAGGCAGGGGGGCTACGACCCTTCTAATTACCAGTGAGTGGGCTTTTGTTTTCCGTATATACCTATATACATATTAATTCCCAGAAATTAAATAGAAAAGGTTATATGTTTTATGCCATGCATCATTTGAATATTGTTTACGCATCATCGCATGTATTAGTATTGGCATACATATATATAAATGTGTATTTAGTGCTGTGGACGCACAGGTAAGTGCCAGGTAAGCGGTATTCATGTGGTTATGCATTCCTGTTTATTATGCAATAGTAGTTTGAAATGCTTAGAGAGCTCATAATCTGCACCCCCGGTGTTAGTGCTCCCGCCCAGGGCCAGGGCACAGCCTTCACGTGTATGTTCACCAGCACCGCATGCTCGCCTTGGATCCAAGATAGGTGCAAGCCTGTCGTACAGACCACAATAGGTGGTTCCGACTTGTAGGTGACCCGCGATTTATCGCACAGCTTCACGTGATCGTAGCACTAGAGTATACATATATATATATTACACCCAGCCTGTCGTACAGACCACGTTAGGTGGTTCCGACTTGTGTGCAGATTCAGTTATCGAGTTGAGAGTGGAGCTCTAGATGCAGCCGTACAGGTCACGTTAGGTGACTCCCGGCTGCTAGATTATATGTTGTTGATGTGATTTACGCTTGAGCATTTATACTGGATTATAAGACTCTGTTGTGGCATATTCTTGAGCATGAATGGCATATTGTGAGCATGAATGGCATATTGTGAGCATGAATGGCATATCATGGAGCATGATTGACATATCTATACATATGTATATATGTTCATTTTCTGGGAAGTATACAGGTTTTACGGCGAGGGGTTAGAATGTATTTTGCTAAAGAGTTTTCAAAGAACTTTGTTTTTGCCCACTCACGCTTTTGTTTTTGCGCCCCTCCAGGTTCTAGTGGTCTAGCAAGTTCGGTGGTTTATCCCAGAGGGCGTCCCGGCATTTCTGACAGACACTCACCATTGTAGGGTCACCTTTGGGTGTAAATATGTCGTATCTTTTCCTTTTGGACTGTTGTAGACTTGCTCTGAATTGTGTCTCACATACACTAGTACTTTGTATGCTTTTAGGTTTTTAATTATTCGTACTTTTATATTACCTTCTCATTAGCTTCCGCACGCGCACATGGTTACGTCACCTTCGCGTGACGGCCAGCACGCCCTGATCTCGGTCGGGGTGTGTCACCGTCCCTGACTGTAGGGGTATTAAGTTAATAAGCCATACAATGAAGCTTTGGGAGAGAGTAACTGAGCATAGACTGAGGCAAGAGACACGGGTCTTGGACAATCAATTAGGGTTCATGCCAAGACGCTCAACCATGGAGGTAATCTATCTCGTACGAAGATTTATGGAAAGATATAGAGATATGAAAAAGGATTTGCACATGGTATTTAAAGATTTGGAAAAAAAAATGTATGATAGGGTCCCAAGAGACATTCTTTGCGGATTTTAAAGAAGAAATGAGTACGAGTAGCATATATCCAAGTTATAAAGGATATGTATGATGGAACAAAGACTGTAGTAAGAACTCACGAAGGACAAACCAAAAACTTTCCCATAACTATAGGGTTACATCAAGGCTCATCTTTAAGTCCTTACCTTATTGCATTGGTAATGGATGAGTTAATGAGACATATTCAAGAAGATATTCCTTGGTGTATACTTTTTGCAGACGATATAGTGTTAATAGATGAAACTCAGGAAGGAGTCAATGCGAAGCTTAACCCTTGGAGAGAAGTGTTGGAATCTAAAGGTCTTCATCGAAGTCGGTCAAAGATAGAATATATGGAGTGCAAGTTCAGTGCGAACGGAGGTTCAAATGAGTTGGGGGTGAGGATTGGAGATCAGGAAATACCAAAGAGCGACAGCTTTCGCCACCTAGGATCTATCTTGCAAAAGAATAGAGAGTTGGATGGAGACCTCAACCATAGAATACAAGCTGGATGGATGAAGTAGAAGCAGAGGCGGCGTTGAAAGGGAGCAAAATGTGCAATCGCACAGGGCCCCTAAATTTGAAGTGTCACATCCCGGCCCGGGGCGGATCACTTCCCGAGCCTGCTCCATCGCCGTAGCACGATATTGTCCGCTTTGGGCTTACCATTCCCTCACGGTTTTGTTTTTGGGAACTCACGAGCAACTTCTCAGTGGGTCACCCATCATGGGATTGCTCTAGCTCCCTTCTCGCTTAACTTCGGAGTTCCTACGGAACCCGAAGCCAGTGAGCTCCCAAAAGGCCTCGTGCTAGGTAAGGATGGGAATATACATTTAAGGATTACTCCCCTGGGCGATGTGGGATGTCACATGAAGGGCTTCTAAAAAATTTTGTTACCTTATATTTATATGTAATAATTTTATATATTAAAAAAAATTACTTTTGTTAGTACATGAAAATCTCATTGTGCACTTCTTATAAGTGTAAATTTTAGAAAGAATTTTGTTAGCACGTTGAAATCTCATTGTGCACTTCTTATAAGTGTAATTTTTTTCTTTCTAAATATGAAAATTTGAAGTGCATAATGAAATATTTGGAGTGCAAATAATAACTCCTTAAAAACGATTTTTCTTTTCAATTTTATTATATAATAATGCTATATATTCAAGTCAAACTTCAAAATTAAGAGCTTTTTTAA